TGGCAGGATGGGGTGCCTGGGTGGCTCACTTGGTTAAGCCTCTGACTCTTGATTTCAGCTCAGCTCATGATATCAGGGTCCTGAGATCGAACCCAATGTTGCCTCCACGCTGGGCATGGAGTCTGCTTGAGATTCTCTCTCTCCTTCTGCCTCTGCCCCTACCCTATCCCTTCTCAAAAAAAAAAACAAACAAACAAACAAACCTTAAAATGATGGCAGGGTTGGAAATTTTATTTTGATTTTCTTTAAGGAGTATAGTATCCATTATATGTTACCTTTCAGTGATGACACGCATTTAGCACGAGGTAGAGGGTTTCACAAAAATCTCTGGGAGGGGCGATTTGAGGAAAGTCAACTGTATTATGTTTCCTGAAGGGTAGAATTTTCTTGTTTACTAATTTTATTCAAACTCAGTGCTTGCACCCTATGAAATAAACATTGAAGGAATTAAAAACCAACAAAGAAAGAAATTATGAAATCTATTTTTAAAGGAGTTTAAATAAGAAGTGGTTTGTATCAGTATCCAATTACATCTATGATTTACATTTTTAACTTCCTCAAGTTACTTATTTATGATTATGCTTCTTTAAAGTAATGAAGTTGGAAAAAAAATAATGAAGTTGGGATGTGTTAATAAAGAAAACTCTGAGATAGGGAAACTATATTTTTGAATAATCTAAGTAAACTTTCGTGTATAGAGTCTCAATCTGAGTGAGGTGTTCTATAACCAGCTCCACCCATTCTCAAGCAGCTGTATCCCCACCTGTGATGATGGCCGTTCATAATTCACTAAAATTTTTCACTATTGAAACTTCAAAACAAAGGGTACCTATAATCAATGGGTAATAATTAAACAGAAAACACCTGTATTGGCACCATGGTTCTATAAACTATACCTTGATATGTGAGATTTCTAATTTATAGGTTTTGAACTTTTCCCTTTGATGCACATGTGGATATCTCTATACTCATTGTAGGTGATTAATAGGTGTTTAGTTGATCAAAAGATCAATAGTTGATTAGGTAAATATATGTACCAGATAACAGGATTGTTGTTTAACTAGTTCAATTAAAAAAAAAAAAAAAACTTTTGTTTTTATTTGGTTTTTAATATGCTTTACAAAAATTTATAATTTTCTTCCCTGTCTTAAAATATTTAGTCAGAGAGTACAATTTATTATTACAGGTTTTAAAATTTCCTATTTACTTATCATTTTAAATTTATGACCGTTGTGTGAGAAAACAGTACCAGCCTCAGGATTTTCCTCAGAAGCATCTTTGTGAAATTCTTTGATCCCACTTTGAATGTTTGGAATCTTTCTCCTCACTGTAGAATACTGCACACATTTAGGTCCATACTTACCACCTTTAAGTAGGAGGGAATTTCCTAACCGAGATTTTATGTAGCAGATGTCTGAGTCCTTTGATCATGCTAGTTGATTGTGACAGTCTAGCTCTTAAACTTCCTCTCTCCTTACAAGTAAGTGGTGAAAATTCCATACCATAATTCAGGAGTCATTCATCCCAACGATTCCATTGTCAATTATGATATGTTTATCCTCATTGGCATCCCTGGCCTGAAGGAGCTGCACGTGTGGATCTCCATCCCCTTCTGCCTGATGTACCTGGGGGTTGTGTCAAGAAATGTTATCCTGATCCTCGTGGTGGCAGTGGAATACAGTCTTCATGAACCCATGTACCTCTTCCTCTCCATGTTGGCTTTTTGGGATCTGATGCTATCCACATCCACAGTACCCAAAGCCCTGAGCATCTTCTGGTTTGATGATGTGGACATCTCTTCTGGTGGTTGTGTAACCTATCTCTTCTTTATGCATTTTGCCTTTGTAGTGGAGTCAGGCATTCTCTTGGCCATGACTTTTGATCGTTATGTGGCCATCTGCTACCCACTGATGTGTACCACCATTCTTAGCCATGGTGTCATCAGCAAAATAGGGGGTGCTGTAGTGCTCAGGAGTTTTGCAACTGTTTTCCCCATTATCTTCCTAGTGAAGCATCTGCCTTCTGCCGGACAAACATCATTGCCCACACATTTTGTGAACACTTGGGGCTGGCAAAGCTGGCTTGTGCTGATATCACCATCAACATTTGGTATGGAATCTCTGTGCCATTACTCAGTGTTGTGCTAGATATGGTGACAATAGTCATCTCCTATGGGCTCATTCTCCGGGCAGTCTTCAGGTTGCCATCCCACGATGCGTGAATGAAATCCCTTAGCACATGTGGTTCCCATATCTGTGTCATCCTCATGTTCTACCTTCCAGGGATTTTTACTGTCATTGCTCAGCGCTTTGGTCAAAAAATCCCCAAACATGTCCACATCCTGTTAGCCAGTCTCTATGTTCTTGTTCCCCCCATGATGAACTCAATTATCTATGGAGTAAAGACCAAACAGATTCGGTGGCTGAGTGGACCTTGTGTTTTATTTGAAAAGGAAATGTTGCTGAGGATAACTGACTCTTGTGGTTTTTTAGAGGTGAGGAGAAAGGGTCCTATTAGAAAAGAGGACAGATAAGTTGTCATTTAGGATAGGCTCTACTTGCTGTGAAATTAGTCTTTTTTCATTGAATAGAGATGACCCAAATTGTATGTGTCCCTTATTTCAAAGGTAAATACGTTCTTGAAAACCCATGTATTTATAGGCGTAAAGTTACTATTTTAAATGTCTATAGGGTTCTTCAGTATTTAATAACAACATATTTCTATTTCTACCAAAGAAAAATAAGATTTATAGAACACTTCTCCATGTACTATTTAGATTTTTAGATCTCTATGTGTCCTCCCCAACAGCTATATTGAATACAGATTACAGTTCACACCAAAATTGTGCATAAATAAGGGAAATACGGAGGTTCTCCCTTCTAGCTCACTTTATTCACAGAACACCTTCACAATCTTGTAACACAAATGGGAATATTTGATGATAATAGATCTCATGAGTGCACAAATGAACTGATATTTACTGTTGTAAATTGGGAGAAAAAAAAAACAAGACAATTAGGTGTTTGGAAACACAAACTGCTTGGATGCTGCGTGTCCTGTGCCACCCTCCTAATTTGCACTTGAGCAACCCTCTTTTTAGACTCCTTAACATCCATCTCACAGGATTGTGGTATGAGGATCCAAGAAAAATTGTATTCAAGTTCACTTTAGAAATTATAAAATGCTGTACAAATGTGTTGTGTCACTGTCGTTAATTTCATTATACTCCCTGGTATGAGCTTTCACCCTCCTTATAGTCAAAGGTTAAGAACAAAACAAAGCAAAAACCCCCGTCCTTTGTATACAGCAAAGTCCTATCTCCTGCCTCCTTTCTTTTCCCACCAGGGTTAATCTAGCTGCAGGAAGGTGTCCTCCCACAGCTTTTTCCTATCAGTCGTGTGCCGCCCACTTGGGATTGGAGATGACCATAGATACTCAGTCTGCACCGCCCCTATTCCAGGCAGTGTGGGCTGGGTTTGCACTTCCTTCAGAAGTCCCTACAAGAATTTTCAAGGAAATTCTACCTTCCTCCATAACCATGGAACTTCCTTTCAACTGTCTGCTTAGACTCCTGGCATATTTGGGGTATAGAGAAGATATTTTTGTGTTTTCCCTGAGTTGGGTTTTCTGAGTAATTTTTGCCAAAATCTTGGCATCCTGGGCCAAGAGCAAGTCTTGGGAAGTTAATTTACAATGATAGTGAGATAACTAAAGATAGTGAGAAATCTCCAGAGAGATTCATCTAATTCCAGAAGGACAAAGACATGGCTGGGTTTATTGCTGAAAACAAGTGTTCATTTTTTCTCTGGAGAGATTTATTTCTCATCAGACTCCAAAGAAACTTTCCCTGAAGGAAGGGGGAGTCGGGGGAAGGAACAATAATCTCCCTGGCTTCTACAAGCAGGGAAAATACATTTTTCTTCACTCTTTGATTTTGCATGCACGGGACATTTGACCTAGCCTTCATTGTATAGCCTTTGTAAGAATCGGGTATGGGAAACCACACAGTTGTTATTTGCTTTTTAAGTGAATAATGATAATCTATTCCTGATCTAGAACACTTTGTGTGTGCATTCAGGACAAAAATGATAACATGAGTATTTAAAATGCTTTGGTTTAGCTCAGAAAAGATGTGAAAGAGTGAGATCTCTGTGCTGGAGAAATCCTGCCTTCGTGGGAGCTAGGACAATGAGTAAGAGCAAATACTTTGAAATCAGACAGACTAATTAGCTTTATGCTCATCATATATTATTTATGTGATACTGAACATTTTATTTAACTTTTTGATTAAGGTAAGATTCACATAACATAAAAATTCACCATCTTAACCATTTTATAGTGTTCAATTTAATGGCTTTTAGTACATTTACAATGTTGTGCTATCATCCCCAATATCTAATTCCAGAACATTTTCATTGCCCCACAAGGAAACCACATCTTCACCAAGCAATCACTCTTTATTTCCCCTTCCCCCAGCCACCTAGCCACTAGTGATTGACTTTCTGTCTCTATGGATTTGACTATTCTGGACTTTTGACAATAATGGAATCATATAATACATCAGCCTTCTGTGTCTGGCTTCTGTCACTTGGCATAGTGTTTTCAAGGTTCATCCGTGTGATATTATGTATGAGAACTTTATTCTTTCAAATGGCTGAAAAAGACTCCATTGTTTAGATTGAACATATTTGTTTTATCCATTCATCAGTTGATATGCATTTGATATGAGTTGTTTCTATTTGGGGGACTATTATAAATAATGCTACTATAACATTTATTTATAAGTTTTGGTGTAAACATCTGTTTTCAATTCTTTTTGATATATACCTGGGAGGAGGACTGGGTCATTTAATAATGCTATATTTAACCTTTTGAGAAAGTGCCAATCCGTATTCTACAGAGGCTGCACCATTTTACAGTCCTACTAGCAAAGCATCAGGGTTCAGGTTCTTCACATCCTCATCAACACTTATTATTTCCCATTTTTAAAAAAATTACAGTTACCTGGTGGGTGTGAACTAGAACAATAAAAGGGAATTGAAAAAATATTTCCTTTCACTCCCTTTCCTGCACACACACAGTGTTCTAGATCAGGAATAGATTATCATTATTCACTTAAAAAGCAAATAACAAGTGCAAGCTAAGCTTCAAATTCCAGAGGAAATAGCATGTGTGAAAGTTCAGAAGGAAAGGGAACATAGTTTGAAAAAGCATAAGATGTACAGGGTGATTGTAGCATAAAGGGCATGTGAGCCAAAGTGAGAGCAAGGGGGAGAGATGGATCAGCGGACATCAAGCAACAACTGGTTAGCACCAACCATGCTGTAAAAGGCTTTGAAGATAGGTTAAGGCATTTGAGTTTTCTTGCAGGCAAAATGGGTAACTTGAATGATTTTTAAGTAGAGGATTGACATGATTAATTGGGGTTTAGTAAAACCACTCTAGTTTCTGAGTAAAAAAATGGATGCAAGAGAGAAAAATTTAGAGTGAGCAAATTCCAAATGAGGCTGCTGAACAGATCCAGGACACACACACATGCACACACACACACACACAGAGTGGTGATCATATTATAATATGAAACATGTGAATGAATTTAAAGGATATTCAGAGGACATAATTGAGAATAAATGAATTTTAGTTCATGTTGATTGTGGAGTTTCAGTGGGATGGCCAGGAGGTGTTACCAAATACAGAGTCGGCTATGTGGGACAGAGAAAGAATTGGGAGTAGAACTTTGGATGTGGGAATTTTCAGCATGCAGATGGTTATTGAATTTATGAGCTTACTGGGTGCTAAACAAGCCTATGAATAAAGTACTATTTTTTCTTTTCTTTCTTTTTTAAAATTTATTTAAGAAGGACATTGAAACAAGATAAAAGGACCAAAGGAAGAGTAAACATTTTTTGCGTTTAAGTTTGTTTTTTTTTTTAAGATTTTATTTTTTTATTTGACAGAGAGAGACACAGCAAAAGAGGGAACACAAGCAGAGGGAGTGGGAGAGGGAGAAGCAGGCCTCCCCTCGAGCAGGGAGCCCGACGTGGGACTCGATCCCAGGACCCTGGGATCATGACCTGAGCCGAAGGCAGACGCTTAACGACTGAGCCACCCAGGCGCCCCGCGTTTAAGTTTTTGATTGTAGAAAATTGGGATTCTTCTATCTGATGTCTGTCATTTTCTAGGGACTTGAAAAATCCTTACCTCTCTTCCTCTAATTCTATCAGTGATTTTCCCCAACAAAATTAAGGTCTTGAGAGTCATAGGAATTGAGTCCATTATTGGAGGGCTTCCTACTACTGATTTATATAAGAAATTCTATTAAATCAATATGATTACTTGACTTCCCACAATTTTTTTCTCTATGTTCCCAGCCCTGGGACACTGAATCCATTTAGGAAAGAATAAGAGGATGACCTTGTCCCTGATCTGCTTGTTTTTTTTTGTTTTGTTTTGTTTTAAAGATTTTATTTATTTTTATTTGAGAGAGAGAGAATGAGAGAGAGGGAGTACATGAGAGGAGGGAGGGTCAGAGGGAGAAGCAGACTCCCCACTGAGCAGGGAGCCCGATGCGGGACTCGATCCAGCGACTCCAGGATCATGACCTGAGCCGAAGGCAGTCGCCCAACCGACTGAGCCACCCAGGCGCCCTGATCTGCTTGGTTTTTACAGCATAAATGATGGGATTGAGTGCAGGAAGGGTTGCCACATAGAGGTTGGCAAACATGATATAAAAGGTGAGGGAGATACTGTGGCTGCAGTGATGAGAACATGGCTGGTGCGTAGAATATGAGAATGACACTGACATGGGAACCACAGGTGCTGAGGGCTTTCTGTCGGGCATCTCTGGATGGAAGGTGGAAAATAGCATGAAGGATGAGAGAATAGGGAATACCAATGAGAATTAGGTCTGAGATAATAGTCATTACAGACACAGCAAAACCATACCAGATGTTGACAGAGATGTCAGCACAGGCGAGCTGGGCAACACCTATGTGCTCACAGTATGTGTGAGGGATGATGTGTGTCCTGTAGAAGGGCAAACGCTTCACCAGGAAACTAACGGGCAGAATGACACTAAAGCTCTGACCGACAATGCCCACCGTGATCTTGACAATTGTCCTAGGTGTCAAAACGCTTGTGTATCTCAAAGGAGAACAAATGGCCATGTAACGATCAAATGCCATGCCCAACAAGATGGTTGAGTCCAGAAAAAAGCTGAAGTGAAGAAAGAACAACTGGGTAAGGCAGCCAGGAAAAGTGATTTTCTGAGCTTTCAACCAGAATATGCCAAGTGTTTTGGGCACACACGTGGTACATAATATGAGGTCTGCAGAGGCCAACATAGAGAGAAAGAAGAACATGGGTTCATGGAGGCTATGGTCCACAGTGATGAGGTAAAGAAGGATGCTGTTACCTGCAAGGGCCACCAGGTAGATAACAAAGAAAGGAATCCCAATCCAGATATAGAATTGCTCCAGCCCTGGGATCCCTACCAACATGAAGGAGCCTGGATCGAAACTTGTTAAATTCAATGTGGCCATCATGGTAATTGTAATTCCTTAAGGACAAAATATAGTATTTTATTCCTGGAACTTACTGGCCATGAATTCCCTTTAAGTCTTTTCCGGAACTAAGATCCCTTCATTCCCATCACATCACAAACACTACAGCAGACACTTACCAAAGGCTGCCAAGAGATATGAATTAAACCATGAATTAAACCAATAATTCTCTATCTATAGACATTAACAATAACAGCATTGTTACTACATCGGGACCACGTCCCACCAGATCCATGACCTGTGATCATTGCTGGGCCTGTGTTGTCAACTAAAGTTCCAAGATTATCTTGCCCTCACCAAGTAATTCAGTCTGAGATTTCTCAAAGATGTAAATGTCAAGTATCCTACCTGGCACAGATCTCAGTAAATCTTCACTGAGGTGCCCATTCAAAGAAATAACAGGGACCAGGTATGAGTTAACAAATATGCATTCTTCATTGCCAATACATGATTAGGAATCTGGCAAACCAATCTACTACTGCCTATTTGCTCCACTTCCTTAATATCTGGAAGAAGATCTCCATCTAAATATTCTTCTGTCAACTCATCAACAATTCTCCAAAACTCATTATTTCTTCCACCTGTTAACTTCCTGACCAGCTACCTCACTTCGTCATCACATCATTCTTCCACCACCAGAGCATGGTGATCTGAGGGTTGACTGAGGCTCTTCTTCCTCCTTCAGTCCCTGTATCTAATCTGCCAGCTCTTCTGATCCTCTTTAAAATCCTTGTCTGATCTGCCTACTCCACTTTTCCACTTCCTCACCTACTCAAGTCATTAATCACCAGTTGGAGCCATACAATAAAAATCCCAGTTCTTCCAATATCTTGGCAGTCTTGTTCTTTATCTCATGCTGCCAGATTGCTCTCTTAAAAATATGAAATTATTAAGACATTGGCAACCTTGTCTAAAAGCTTGTCATTGCCCCCATTATACCTACAGAATATATTTTATCTCCTGTTGGCAGTCAGTAGTTTCCTTATGTATTTTAGTTCTACCTATGTGAATGTGTATCACATTCTTCCCTACAAGGCGTCCATAGATTTCTACCTCGTTCCTACATCTCATTGCTTCGATTGCTGCCTTTTCCATCAGTGTAATCTTGTCTTCTCTCAACATGTGTAAATTCTATTCACTGCTCTTGATCCTTACCAACACAGATGTCTCCAGGGCACCTTCTCCAGTAATCCTGAACCAAGCAGTCCCTTCTCCTGCTTGTAAAATCAAGTTCTTAATCATTTTACCAAACAAACTATCAGATGACTGTATTGAATTTCACATTATTTTCCTGCTTATTCTCTTGGATTCTCTTTTCTAGATGTGTGAGCATCTTCTGTTAATGATTGGGAACCCCTCTTGAGGACAAATTTTCTGTCCTCATGCGTCTCTGCCAGAATAAAAGAAGGCAAGATTTCACATAGAATAACCATTCATACGGCCTCAGTGGTAAAATTAATATTTCAAGATTGTCATTCTTTACTAATTTTTTCATTGTGTCCTGTTTGGGCCAGAAAATATTGAATATATTTCTTGAATACACACAGACACACACACACACACACACACACACATTTCCTTGGCTTATTGTCTTGTCCTCCGTCTTTAAAGACAATAAAAGTGGATTGAGTCTTTCTCAAGTCTCCTTATTCTAACCTCTATAGTCACATATCTCTCTCTGACTCCGAACTTTTCTATCTCCCTCTTCTACTTTTATTTTATTTTATTTTATTTTTTTTAAAGATTTTATTTATTTATTTGACAGAGAGAGGCACAGCGAGAGAGGGAACACAAGCAGGGGGAGCGGGAGAGGGAGAAGCAGGCTTCCCGCTGAGCGGGGAGCCCGATGTGGAGCTCGATCCCAGGACCCCGGGATCATGACCTGAGCCGAAGGCAGACGCTTAACGACTGAGCCTCCCAGGCGTCCCTCCCTCTTCTACTTTTAAAGACCACTGCAATTACAACAGAATCACCCAGATAACCCAATATAAAGTCAAATGATTAGCAGCCATAAACATCTTTTGACATATAAATAACTTATGCACAGGTTCCAGGAATTAGGATATGCATATCCTTGAGGAGTCATTCTTTATTCTAGCTACCAAATTCTTTCCCTGGATTTTTCCAGGATCTTCTCCAGTCTGCCTCCCCAAGACTCCTACCACCATTACCACACTCAGATTATACTCACAGGCACCTTATCCTGATGTTAGGAAACCAATAAAGGGCTTGAAGAGGATAGTTCTAAGATGAGAACAGAAAGATACAGGAAGTAACACAAAACAGTTGGGGAGGACATATAAAGAGAAGGGTACCCAGATGAGAGGTGAGGCATGGGAACAAAGAAATTTAATTCCAGCCAGGAAAGACAGACACACCTCGACAGCATAAGCTTTTATTTCTCTTTGTTTTTCTCAGGGGATGGAAAGACTGAAAAGTGAAGGCTCTAAATTCTAGGGGGACTCCAGGGACTCCAGTCACCAGTCAATACTATTAGTATTAGTATATAAATGTTTGCATTAATGTTTTCCTGGTCTAGAAATGACATTGTACACAAACATGGTATGATTCCGGGTTTTGGACAGACAGAGGAACCAGGAAGTACTGGAATACTTCAGCCTTTGTAGAGTAGTCATTTATAGAGAATTCAAAAAATAATTTTGGAAAGAAAAAACAAATATAAGTTAGCTAGGCTCTAGGTTCTGACTTCAAAGAAAGGTGTGATAATAACCCTTTAAACTCTGGATCCCAGATATTTATGTGTTTGGAGAAAGACAATCGATTGATTAGGGATGTGGGTGAGCTCCAGATGATATGGTTGTAGGACCCATATGAGTATCACCTTCTATTTCACTGAATGGGGCTTTCTGGTCTCTATTTGTAACTGCATTGAGGTACTTCGAAGAAACTCTGACTTCAGAGCAAGATGAGTTAATCTTTTACATAAACAACTCCCTTAGGTCATTGCATATTATCCAGTGTTTACAGTACTTCTGGAGATTATCATTAACATCCAGATGCTTATGGCAGAGACCTTAAAGTTATTCTGGAAACCACTTTTTCTCTCACTTTCCTTATTTTCTTTTCATATTATTGATTCTGTTACTGTATTGCCAAAAAAAAAATAAAACTACCACAGGTCTTAGTGTCTTACAGAGACCTTTCACGTTTGAATTGTCTTGTAAAACAGTATGACAGATACATAAGCAAAGCAAGCTTTGCTTATTGCAGAAAGAGCTGAAGATACATTGCAATTTTGTGGTGAAGCTTTCCATTTTACTAAATCAGATAAAAGTATCAAGTTCAGAATATCTCAAGGGGAAACAGTCCAGAGTATTAAAGGTTGTTGTATGCTGACTAGCTTGGTGTATCAATTGTGGCAAATAAAAATGGGTAAACTAACCTCCTCCTCCCCTAAAAATATATTCTTTTGACTCTGCTGTGTCCCTGAGTTCTTGCAGATCTTTAGGCAACTTACATGAAATTGACTTTCTTTCATCTCAACCAGTCAAAGTGGGAATTCCAGAACAAAAAATTGAATTGAGCACAGGGTGACACCAACCCCACCCATTCCAACAATATAAAAAACTAAGTTTAACATTTTAAAATAAAAACACATAACATACTCAAAAACTCCATTTCTAAAAATCAAAGTAAAATAGTAACACATGGAAACATTTTTTTTTTTTAAGATTTTATTTATTTATTTGACAGAAAGAGACACAGCAAGAGAGGGAACACAAGCAGGGGGAGTGGGAGAGGGAGAAGCAGGCTTCCCGCGGAGCAGGGAGCCCGATGCGGGGCTCGATCCCAGGAACCTGAGATCATGACCTGAGCCGAAGGCAGACGCTTAACGACTGAGCCACCCAGGTGCCCCCACACGGAAACATTTTAAAACTAAACTGTGCATTCAAGAAGAGCCTAAGGAGACATGACAACTAAATATAATGAGGTTTCCAGGACAGGACTCTGGGACAGAAAAAGAACATCAGTTAAAACTAGAGAAATCTGCTACGGCTGCATGTACTAAATTGTCCTTTGTCTCTGACCCAGGATTCCTGTGTCTTCTACCAGCCACCATGAAACTGTGGCAAAGTAACTTGTTAGCTTGCAAGTAGAAGAAAATTTCAGACTCTTCGCAGTTCTTAACATAGACAATTTGGGAATATAGAATAAATATATCATACTCTGAGCGTAAAACGAGGTAAACAAAATATACTTAAGAAACAATGACTCACAGAAAGAGAAACTATCTTTACCATCAGCTGTCCTCTTTATTAAGCCATCAAGATTATGATTCGTTGGAACAAATAAATTTAATTATAAAATGATTTGTTGAAAATGAAAAGATATATACCATCTAGAATGCTATATCACAATACGTAATGTTGAGTTATAGCTCTAACAAACATGAGTTATTTCCTGAACCTACAAAACATATAGTAAATGCTCAAAAGATGTTTAACTATTATTATTAGCTCTTGTATATAATAAAGAATATATATGCATGTATATGTCGCCTATCATTATATCATCATCTTTTTTTCTGTACAAATAATCTTAGTTACATATTGGCATACTGCAAATATACTGTAAACAGAAGTAAATCTTTCTGATATAAATTATATCCGAAATGAACTTCTGTTGATATCGCTTTACTATCATTAATAATAATATGTCAATATTGGTATATTGATTATAACAAATGTACCATACTAGTGTAAGATATTAGTGATATTGTATTATTAATTATAGGAAATCTCTGTACAGTCTTTGTAAGTTTTCTGTACCAGGTACTACTAAGATAAGAGTTTATTACAGTAATGGGATACAAGATAGTGTTTTTAAAAATCACTGGCATTTCTTTTCTCTTACAACAATTCCTAAGAATATGAGAAAAAATACTCCCCTCATTATAGTTTCCACTTCTCTCCTCCAATTCTCTCATAAACACTCTCCAGTCTCTACCACCCACTGAAATT